AGAAGAGACAGAAGGAGATCTTCCGTCCAATGGTTCACTCCCCAAGTGGCCACAATGGCTCTAGCTAAGCCACTCCAAAGCCAGGAGCTTCTTCTGGGTCCCCCACATGGGTGCAGGATGTCAGGGCTTTGGGCCGTCCTTGACTGCTTTCCCAGGCCACAAGCAGGGAGCTGGATGGGAAACAGGGCTGCTGGGATTAGAACTGACGTCCATATGGGATCCTGGCGTGTTCAAGGTGAGGACTTTAGGTGCTACACTATCGCACTGGGCCCAAGAATTTCAATTTTTAAAGGAAGATTGGGAATGCAGTAGAGCACAGCACAAAGCGTTAGACCCCTGCACATGTGTGGAAAGAACCGAAAGAAGCTCTGGCTCCTGGCTTCAGATCGGCACAGCTCTGGCCATTGCGACTACTTGGAGTACACCAGCTGTGAAAGATCTTTCTCTCTGTATCTCCTTTCTGTAAATCTGACTTTCCAATAAAATATAAATCTTAAAGGAATTAATGGCGCAATAGCCAGCACAGTAGCCTAGTGGCTAAAGTCCTCACCTTGTAAGTGCCAGGATCCCATATGGGAGCTGGTTCGTGTCCTGGCAACCCCACTTCCCACCCAGCTCACTGCTTGTGGCCTGGGAAAGCAGTGGAGGACAGCCCAAAGCCTTGGACCCCTGCACCCATATGGATGACCTAAAGAGGCTTGAGACTCCTGGCTTCAGATTGAGCACAGCGCTGGTCAGCCGTTGCGACCTGCAAGGTGCTGCCTTGTTCTATGGGAGTACCTGTGGTCTCCTGGCTTTCACTAGTACTAAAGTGCGTACTCTGAGTCTGTTGAAGCCTGCCTCCTGTTCAGACTAACAGAAGGTCAAAAACAAAAGGGCTGTGAGCTCACTTGCTTCCTGACTGTCCATAGCAGAGCAGCCAGGAGACACTCTTCATGGTAGCAGAACTCTGGTCCGAGGTCGGACCTGCCATTGGTTGAGATGTAGACCATGTGTAGGTAATGAGTGCGGAAGTAGGTAGCAGCAGCCTTCCTTTTGAAGATGAGAAACTAGGAATGTATTTCCCCAGAGAATTTAAAGAGTATTAGTGTATTTCATAGCAGGTTCAGGTTTTAGGCAATTCCACAGTATGACACATTTTTGCTTCCTATAGTGAAATATTTTTAGTCTTTTAAATAATTAGGGGGAAGAGTTCAGGGATTCCTAGTACAGAAAGACCTGGGTTCTTCAAAGAAGCAGTTACCCTACTTGAGTTCACTTGTCTCCTCTGACAGCAGGTAGGTCTCTCCTGCAGTGGCTTCTGACCCTGTGATGTAATGAATGACGATGGTGCTGGTTGATGCCATCTGTTTATCCAGTGCATGAGTGTGTCTTAGGTTGTGTATGTCTGTTAATTCAGAAGCTCTGTGAGATAGGATTCTTTGATAGAACATATGCTTTGTGTACTGTTGATGATCCCAGCCAGGACTGGACCAGGACTGGACCAGGCCAAAGCCCTCTCTCCCGTGTGAATGCAGAGGCCCAAGGACATGGGCTATCTTCCGTTGCCTTCCCAGACATCCTGGCAAGGAGCTGGATCAGAAGTGGAGCAGCCGGGATTTGAACCGGTGCTGATGAGGGATGCCAACACTGCAAGCAGGCAGCAGCAGCCCAACGTGCTATGCCACAACGCCAACCCTGATACAAGAATCTTAACCAGTGTGTTAACCACTGGTCCAAATGTCTGCCCCAGTGTTGGGAATTTTATCCCTTATTATGCAATGTAAGAAAAGTGGTAGATGTGCTCCTCAGCTGACATGGGGCTGAGATATTTTTCTTCCTCTTTCAAATTAGTGGTTCAGGGTATGTGTTGGTACTTACTAATAAGGTCAAGCAGTATGGAGTACAAATTGAACACCTCACTTTTATTTTTAATTAACATAGAGAGGGTCCTAAGTGAGAGCTGTGATTTGGTGTTACATGAGAAGGGGTGGGAGGTGTGCCAGGTACCTGGCAACCTCCAGTTGCCTGGAGTTTATGCTTCATAGCCTAAGTTCCTAGCAGGGCAGGATGACCAGAGGCCACATTCAATAAAGAGCAGTAAGGTAACTGCTAACCTCAGAGAGAATGCTGACTCCTTAGCCTGGCATGGGAGGCTGTCTTCTCAATGTGCTTCCTTCTCTGAGTGATACAAGACCAGTATTTTTGTTTTAATTGGTTTGAAAGGCAAGACAGTGGAGAAGGAGAGATTGGAACGATTAAGTTTTTTCATCTGTTGGTTTGTTCACCAAATGGCTACAACAGCCAGATCTGGGCCATCAAAGCCAGGAACCAGGAACTCTGTCCTGACCTCCCACATTGCTGCTTTCTCAGCCTCACTAGCAGTAAGTCTGATCTGAAGCAAAGAGCAGCTGGGATACAGGCTGCTGCTGTGGCGGACTGGCTGAGCTGCCCTCCCCCGTCTCCCCACCCCCTCCAGCCTGTGGCTCCAGTGCCTCCCTGCCCTGTGTGCTTCCAGCCGCTGCCTTTACCACTGCCCTGGAGACACGTTCTGCCAGGCCACCTGGGCTTAGAGATCTGTGTGCTTAGAGCACATTGTGTTGTGGTTTACCTGGCCATGCCAGGGCTCCCTTTCCAGACTTCAGAATTTTTCTTAAAAAAGAAAATTGAGGGCTCGGCGCGGTGGCGCAGTGGTTAAACTCCTCGCCGGTTCTATCCCGGCAGCCCCACTTCCCTTCCAGCTCCCCGCCTGTGGCCTGGGAAAGCAGTCGAGGATGGCCCAAAGCTTTGGGACCCTGCACCCGCGTGGGAGACCCAGAAGAAGTTCCTGGATCCTGGCTTTGGAGTGGCATAGCATTGGCCGTTGCGCTCACTTGGGGAGTGAATCATGGGACGTAAGATCTTCCTCTCTGTCTCTCCTCCTCTCTGTATATCCGCCTTTCCAATAAAAAAATAATAAAAATAAATCTTTAAAAAAAATTGAAAGACACAGAAGTCATCTATGCAGCTGTTCACTTCCCCATGTGCCTGCAACAGCCAGGACTGGCCCAGGCTAAAGCTGGGAGCTCGGCCGCAGGAATCGGACCCAGGCATTCAGGGAACGGATATGTTTATTATCAGTGAGTGAGGTGTGCACTCCTAAGATCTGTGGGCTGTTCATGCTTGCCGTCTTATTAGCCTTTGTGAAACTGTGCAGTGGGAAAGGTGGGAATCCACAGCTGTGGGAAGGGCCTGGCGTCTCTGGGTTTGTCGTTGATGGTTCCTCCGGAGGACTTGGGGAAATGAGCTTGCAAGCATTCTGGTTGTCATCACTGCTCTCAGGTTGCTGGTCTAATCAGGAGCTTAAGGTTGCAGTAGAGCCTTGTTTATTCCCTCTGTGGTCATTTACAGAATTGATCACTTCTGGCCATTCTCATGCTTACCTTGATTTTAGTAGCCTAAACCAGGCACAACGCTAAGCTTTGCTTTTGATGTGTCTTGGTTAAGTCAGTGCCCATTTCCTCTCCTGGTCTATTTGTGGTTGGGTGGTTGGTTGGTTTTCCCAAGATGACTGGTAATGATGGAAACAGGTGAGGCAGACTCCTTAAAAGACTTGGTCATCCACCAGTGTTTCCTGGCTTGCTGTGTGGGGCGAAGGGTGCAGAGTGAGGAAGAGGAGGTGCGGAGTGGCAGGTTTCTGCCTGCTGATGGTTTAGAGTAGTGGTGGTTGCTGAACGAACACTGCGCAGACGCATTCAGTAATGCCCTGCGAGTTTTCCATGTCAGTAGATTTGCCTGTACTCTTAACAACGGCATTGCGAGTGCTGGGCTCTGGCTCCGCACCCCAGCTAACTGCCTGTGCACAAGCTGGGAAGAGGCAGGAGTCACTTCCTGGCTTCCTTCAGTGGCCTGGTCCTTGTGGGCATGTGAGGAGGGAGCCTGTGGATGGATAGGGTCACTTTCTCAGTCTCTGCTTCTCAAAACCAAAGAAGCCCAAACCAAGTTAATGATCATTTATCTCCTGGTGGTGTCTGTGCCATTCTTGGTGCTTATCACACCTTTTCTTGTGATTACATATCCGGATGTGAAAAGTCGCAGCAGTGGAAGCAGCTTTTAGCAGACTAAGTGTTCCACAAACATTGCCAAAATTGGGTCTGCACTCTATACCCATTTTATATATGGAGGAAATGAAGCATTGCTTTTTTAAAATTCTGACCTCACGCAGTCAATAAATGATAGGACACTTGTTTTTAAAGAGGTCAGAGTTCTGGGTGCAGGATCCCAAGGTTTTGGGCCGTCCTCAACTGCTTTTGCAGGCCACAAGCAGGGAGCTGGATGGGAAGCAGGGCCACCAGGACACAAACCATTACCCATATGGGATCCCGGTGTTTGCAAGGCAAGGACTTTAGCTGCTAGGCTACCGTGCCGAACCTAAGAACCCAAACTTTTAAAACTGCATTGTGAAATCATAACTTAGATATCATAAGTATTTTAACGTCTTCAGTTATATAGCCACCGCATTAATTTTAGGATCTATTACTTCAGGAGTGACCTTGTTGTATGGATTAACTGCCCCTCTGGTCTCTCCCATCCCCTTCCCAGTACAGCTAATTTTTGGATTTGTTTACTCTGGATATGTCGTATAAATAGGTCCAGATGATGATGTGCTCTGTGACTGGCTTCTTTCACCTGATGTGTTTTGAGGTTTGTCTGTCATAGCATGTGTCAGTACTGCGTTCCTTTATATTGCAGTCAGATATGAACCCAATCCACCTGCTGCTACGTGTCCTGCTGATTCCCATATGTGCCCCGCTAGATGATGATGGTTGAGGAAGTAGCCTTTCTGTTTTGGTGTTTTCGTTCTTAGAGTCTCTGAGTACCTTGTTGATAGTCAATATATAAGGTATAAATAAAGTAACATGGACTTTGCTTTTTAATCAAATTCAAGTTAACTTGTTTGTCATCTGTGGCACTGGGAGAAAGGGAGAGAGCAGCTGGGTCCCAGTGCGAAGAACTCAGTGTCTTCTCTGTCTCCAGGAAGAAGACGTGGGAAGGAGACAAGATTGCTGGGACAACCAGGAAGCGCCTGCACTCTCCACCTGTAGCAATGCCAGTATCTTTCGAAGGATCAATGCCATGCTGGACAACTCTCTGGATTTGAGCAGAGTCTGCACCACACCCGTGAACAGGAGGGTTCATGATCATCTGCCAGGTGATTTGGAGTGAAACACAGAGGCTCTGGGCTTGTGCACAGGTGGTGCTCGTAGGAGTGCTGCCCGGGAATTGTGTGCAGAGTGGCACCGAGTCTGACGCCTGTCCCTCCTCTGGTTTCCTATGTGCACTGAGTCTTCTGTGAATAAAGGCCATCTTTGTTTAGAGTATAGAAATCTATTATGTGAGTTGCAGGAAGACTGGGCAAAAAAACAGGCCAGAATTAACAAAAGTATTTATGTAAAGTATCTTGAGACTTAGATATTCTAGGTTTTTCTGGTAGCCACATTAAAAAATTAGAAGGAAACTTGAAATTATTTTGTCATGTCATGAACAGAAATACTGTGTCAGCCTATGGCAAATAGAAAAATGTATTAACGAGATACTGTCTTTTTGTTCATACTTAAGCTTGAAAATCCCGGGTGTGTGTGATACTTAGAAGATGTCACAGTGTGAACTAGGTCTGCTGCATATTCTCAGTAGCCACGTTTGACTTACAGCTACCTTATCGGACAGTGCAGCTCCTGGACGTTTTAATAACTTGTAAGCATGAGTTCAGATGAAGCAGCATTAAGGTCTTAGGTTGTCAGATGCCTTGCTGAGCACTAAAGGGGGTGGCCTGGGTGTCTGGAAGGAGGTGTGGGTGTCCTGAGAGTTCTCTTAATCTCCTATGGGTTTTGCATTGCATAACAAGACTGTTGAGGGAATGATTTTTGTCTGTTATTTTAGGTGAAAGAACATCTTTTAAACATTTTTAGGTGGATCTTGAAAGAGTTTGGCAATAACAAGCATTCTCAGAACCGGGACTGATAATTACTGTTTTTAAATTGTAAATTCTTAGATTTATGTGTTTTTGTTTTTTTTTTTTTTTTTCAAACTTGGCCTTGGGAAGAATTCCCACAAAGATGCAGGGATATGTGAGTATCCGGTAGCCAGACATTCATAGGAGAGACTGCTGGACACAGGGACTGACTTGGGGCATCTGGAGTTTTCAGGAAGGCTCACAGTGGGGAGCACCTGTCTTCTGAGATCATGAGTCAGCGCTTTCCTCTAGGAGCTTATGCCAAGTTAAAAACTCAGGGGAGAGTTCTTGGTCCTAATAAGTGTTCGGGTTTTTTTTTTTTTTTGGTTTGGTTTTGCTTTGCTTGATGTGTGTGTATGTTTTTTTTTTTTTTCCTTTGAGAAAATTGCATGAATTATATTCCAGTGAGAGTGACGCTCAGCACTGGCTTTGATATCACTGGAAAATGCTATTTGGCGAATGCTAGATCATTGCACCATCTAGGTGAGGGGACCCATGGCCCAATGAGAGAGGAGCTCTCGGGAAAGGCAGATATGCAGAGAGGAGGAGAGACAGAGAGAAAGAACTTCCATCCACTGATTCACTCCCCAAGTGGCCATAACGGCCAGAGCTGCGCCAGTCCAAAGCCAGGAACTTCCTCCAGGTCTCCCGCACAGGCACATGGTCCCAAGGCTTTGGGTCATCCTCAGCTGCTTTCCCAGGCCACAAGTAGGGAGCAGGATGGGAAGCAGGGCTGCCGGGATTAAAACTGGTGCCCATGTGGGATCTCAGTGCTTGCAAGGTGAGGGCTTTAGCTGCTAAGTTGTCATGCCGGCCCCTCTTTGGTAATATTTGAAAATTTTAGCAATAGTTCTGATCTTTTGGAAAAGGGGTAAAAATGGAATTCTGTACCCGTTTCCGCTGTTGCTAGCATCTTATGTGGTGCAGTGCATTTGTCACACCTAATGAATTCATGTCGATGCTGGCAGTCCAAACTTTATTTGGATTTCCTAATTTCTACGCAGTATCTTCTCTGCATCTGGATCCCATCCAGGATATCACAGTACCTTGTGTCATCATGCCTCCTTGGGTTCTGTAAAACATATCAGTTCTCAGACTTTGCTTGGTTCTGGTCATCATGAAAGTTATAGTCCTGGTCACACTTGAGAAGTCACAGGGCTATGTACAAACATGTACACAGGAGTTCATAATGTCTTCTAAGATATTTTTATTGGAAAGTCAGATGAATAGAGAAAGGAGGAGAGACAGGAAGATCCTCCGTCTGCTGAATCACTCCCCAAGTGTCAGTAATGGCTGGAGCTGCTCCAAACCAAAGCCGGGAGCCAAGAGTCTCTTTCAAGTCTCCCATGTGGGTGCAGGGTCCCAAGACTTTGGGCCGTCCTCAGCTGCTTCCCCAGACCATAAGCAGGAAGCTGGACAGGAAGTGGGGCCCCTGGGATTAGAACTGGTGCCTGTATGGGATCCTGATGCATTCAAGGCAAGAACTTTAGCTAGGCTACCATGCTGGGTCCCATAGTGTCTTTATGACAGCCCTAACTGGGAACAGGCTGCAAGCCCACCAACAGGCGAATTGGCACACAAATTGCAGTATTCCTTTTTTTTTTTTTTTTTATTGCAGTATTCCTATGTAAAGGAACCCAACTTGGCGGTGAAGAGGAATAAAGTGTTGATGTTTGGTGTGTGGGTAAATCTCAGGGTAGTAGCTCAGTGAAAGAATCAGGAAGGAGAGAGAGAGAGAGACTGTGTGATTCTGTTTTCATGTAATTCTAGGAAATGCCAACCTATAGCAGCAGAGTGAATCAGTGACTGCCAGGGGAGCGGGCCCAGGAACAGGGATGGAGTGGGGCGGGGCGTGCAGGGGCGTGCTGGAGCTGTGGATACCCGTGTTCCCCTGATGTGACTGTTTCATGGGAGAGGGGGTGTGTGTAGGTAGAAACAGCAAATTACAGTATGTACTGTTGATTGCAGGTTTTGCCATTAAAGCTGTTAATAATTCTTAAACAGTAGTTGTCTCTGAATGGTAGGATTTGCATACATCCTTTCATTTAAGAGTGGGGATTAGAGAGATCTTCCATCTGTTGGTTCTCTTCCCAAAATAACTGCAACTGCTAAACCTGGGCCTGACCAGAAGCAGGCACTCATCCACATCTCCTACATGGGCCGCAGGGTCCCAGGCGCTGAATAACCTTCCTCTTTGTAGGCGTGTTACAGGAAGCTGGACTGGAAGCAGAGCAGCTAGGACCTGAGCTCATGCACAAGTATGGGGTGTCCTCTGTGGAGTTGCAAGTGGCAGCTTGACCCATTGTGTCAACTCTATCATCCCCTGAGTACACTTTGTTAGGGCTGTTCACTGTGTTTCAAAGTAGAGCATTGGATGTGAGGGAGATCTGGCTGTGACATCTGTCACCCCATTGATCCCCAGGGTTGATTCGGCCGATTTGGCTGGCTAGGTGGGTGTCCCCTTCCTCCCTCACCCACCACTCCATGTGTGTCCCTCCCGAAGCTGTGCTTGGTCAGAGAACAACCATCCCTGCTAGAGGAGAACCGGGTTTTGGTCAAGGATATATGGGTAGCTGTGCTCCCCTGCTGAGCCTCCAAACAAGCTCTCAAAGTAGAGCATTATATTAGACCTGTGTACTTAATCATTCACTTTAACAAACTGCATGTTTTGACACACTCATTGCAGACCTTTGTTTAGGCAATATCAATATCAAAGAAAAGTTTGATACCTGTGTCTACTCTCACTCCCCTTACATATGCTTTTATACTTTGTGTAATATGTTCATAAACATTGTTTTGAGCCTTTGTAGTTCTAGGTAAATGAAAGTGATTTCTGGGAAAGTGAACAATTAAAGTATGAAGCTGAGTAAGTTTTCTCAAAGCAGATCTATCCAAGCTCACGTCCAGAAACAGAATGCTGCCAGCACCTGGGCAAACCCTGCTGCCTCCTGCTGGGTGTTAGGGGTGTAAAACACCACACAGATTGCATGACATGCATGTCTTGATGGCACTGGATTTTTCCGTGATACCATATTTACAGTGTGTTCATGTTGGTATTTCCAAGACAAATCAATACATTTTAAGTGCTCTGTGGTAGTAATTTAAGGATAATAAATGTGGTATCTTTCCCTTTACTGGTGAGTGTTCAGATCTATTAGAATATTTTGTTATTTTATATACAGTATTTGGATGAGTTTTCCTTGTCTATGTCTCCTTGTGTATAGCTAACAAGAGTTATTTTGACATATGCATTAGATGTAAGTTTCCCTGTATATTTCAAAAAGCTCAAAGGGGAAGCAGCATTATAAGTAATTTGAAGTAAGGAAAATTTGAAATACATAGTTTTATGTAATAGATATTTTCTATAAGTTTGTTGAAGGCCTCTCATATTGTCTTCAAATTTTAAGTTGCTTACTTTCATTTTAAAGACTTGCTTACTTTTTGAAAGGGATGGAGAGATCTTCCATCCACTGGTTCACTTCCCACATGTCCGTGACAGTCCAGTCTAGCTGGCCCAAGCCAGGAGCTGAGCACGTCCTCCAGCATTCTCAGTGGAAGGCAGGGCCCAAGCACTTGGACCAACTTCACTGTTTTCCCAGGTGCGTTAGCAGGGGGCTGGATCAGAAGTAGAGCAGCCGGGACTTGAACTTGATTTCATGTGGGATACTGGTGTTGCTGATGACAGCTTAACAGATTACACTACAGTGACCTCCAGCCCTTTTTCCCTCTTTCAATATTTATTTAGTTGAAAGGTAGAGGTAGAGAGGAAGAGACAGATCTTCTGCCCACTAGTTTACTCCCAAAATTGCCACAGTGGTTTGAGTTGGACCAAACCAAAACTAAGAACCTGCAGTTCCATCCAAGACCTCCCCTGTGGGCTGCCGGAGCCCATGCACTTGGGCGATCCTCTGCGGCTTTTGAACTCTTAGTGAGGAGGTCGATCGGAAGAGGAGCAGCTGGCACCCCAACCAGCAATCCCTTGGGATACCAGGGTCACAGGCCACAGCTTGACCTGCTGTGTTCCAGCAGCACCAGCCTCACTTTAAAAAATTTTTTTTCTACTTACTTAAAAGGTAGATAAAAATCTTGCATCTGTTGAACCATTTCCCAAGTGCCCGCAACAGCCAGGGCTGGACTGGGAGCCGTGTCCTCCGTCTGGGTCTCTTGAGTGGCAGTAACCCATATGCATGAGCCATGAC